TTTTTGGGGAGGTTTTTGTATTTTTTGGGGAGGTTTTTGTAATTTTTTGGGGAGGTTTTTGTATTTTTTTGGGGAGGTTTTTGTATTTTTTTGGTGTTTTTTGGGAAGGATTTTGTGGAAAACATTCGATTTTTTGGGGAGGTTTTCGTATTTTTTTGGGAAGGTTTTTGTATTTTTTGGGGAGGTTTTAGTAATTTTTGGGGAGGTTTTGGTATTTTTTGGGGAGGTTTTAGTAATTTTTGGGGAGGTTTCTGTTTCACCCATTGGAAAAGAATCAATCGCTGCGATGATCGACTCACACACAGCCGAGGCCAGAGCCAAAATTCGAACGGATTGTGTCAAAAATATGAATGGATTATTTGAAACTGCAACAAAAATGGATCATTTAGAAAATGGAATGTTCGAAGCAATGAGTGAATTTCCACACGGTCTTACTTTTATTGCACGCTCGTTTTTGGCTATCATTCGTGAGAAGGTGATCGATAAGACGTTCGCTGCCCGCTAACAGTCGTCGAAGGTCGAAATTTTTTCGTTGATCGAAAATTTTGGTCATGTGTGACAGTGTTAATGTTGAAAGTCTTTGATTATAGACATCGCTGCATTGAAACGAAACAAAGGGGGGAAAACATGTTTGTTCAGTATGACGTTTTCATAGAAATAGTTTGTAATGGAAATTAGTGAATAGATAATTGTTTTTTGCCTTACGTTAGCTGTAATTGGATTTGTTGTACACATACATTTCGTCGTTACTAAAATGAGCGGGCCTTTCAATGGGAATGCAATGACATTGGTTCGTTCAATTCGGCTATTTGACAGCTGACCATCGCAGCAAGTTCGGTATGCAAGTGGCGAATTCGATGACAGATGATAACAAATGGTTTGAGCGGTTTGTGGTTATGTTGTACATAAATAAATTCAAATCGAATCAAGTTCAAATTGAGTTCCGTATAGAACGATTGCGATCAGCAAAATGCTGAGACAACAGCCTTTGATAATTCACATTGTGAAACGATTCAAGAAGACCAAACCGGGATTATTCGTAAGTCGATTCGAATATGAATCAAATTTGAAAGAGAGCTGAATTGATTTGATTTTTAGGTGAAACCGCGTGATCTGAAAAAGGCAACATCAATCGACCGTGCGCTCGAACACTTTGATGACTTCTACAAATCAGTCTATGGTCCACGGTGGGGCGGTATTCGAGCTTCCTTGCTGTGTGAGAATAAATTTGCGGCACTCGTCAATAATCATGGAGAACCGGAGCAAACCAGAGAACAGATTGAGTTGAATGGTGGCGTCAATATCAGGAAAGTCTTTGATGTATACTTTGATTCCAGTGCCACTGTTGAAACAACCGTACGCACCAATCAATCGACAAGAGTTGATAGAACTGTGGATAAGTATGTGCAAGAGAAACAGAAATCGGAAATGCGTGCCATTTACCAGCAACACGTCGAAGAAGAAGAGGAAAAATTAGCATTAGAGAAACGAGAAGATCCATCACGAGTTATAGACATGGCTGATGTGGTTGATTATAAGAAATCCCTGCAAAAATCATTGGCTGAAGATTCTGAGTTCGATTTCAATCGTATGATTTCGGCCGAAGTTGGCGTGATGGGTCTGCAAGAGTTCATACCAGCCACAAAATTAAAAGGAATGGAAGATTTCATTCCCGAATCAGATCATTATCAATACTATAACACAGCCGTGGATTTTCCACTAACATTTGAACCGGAAACCGATTTTCTATTCCCGAAAACGTTAGATATTTACATGTATCCCAAAGGAGATATATCACGATTTTCACGACCAAAAAATACGGCCACCAAAGTACTGTCACATTTTCTGCTTGATGCAGCCTCAATTCTACCACCACTCATGTTGAATGTACAACCTGGCGATGTTGTTTTTGACGCTTGTGCAGCTCCAGGAGGGAAAAGTTTGATTCTATTGCAAAGTCTTCTGCCAAAAACAGTCGTTTGCAATGATGTCTCACAGGGCAGAGTTAATAGGCTTTACAAATTATTCTTTCAATATCTACCGGATTTCACCGAGAAATGGCAAGGTGATCGGTGCATCATACAAAATCATGATATTCGAGAGGTTAACGAATTCTCGAAATACGATAAGGTAAAATCAATGGAAACAATGGTGAAAACTATTCTTGGACTTCTTGGAAATTTGTTCGGAGACATTTTCATGGGATGAAAACTTTTCTACAGAATAATAATCATTTATTTCTAGATTCTCGTCGATGTACCGTGCTCAAATGATCGGCAATCGGTGACGGAAAATGAAAACAGCTGGTTCAGAGGTGATCGACATAGGGAACGTTTACAATTGCCCGAATTACAAGCGGCCATCCTTGTACAGTGCCTTCAGTTACTCAAACCGGGCGGTTCATTAGTCTATTCAACTTGTAGTTTAAGTCCAATTCAAAACGATGGTGTTGTTAATATGGCTCTAACAAAAGCATTCACCGATTACCACATTACAGCTACTATCAAGTGTGTATTGGTTTTTTTCTTCGAGACAATTTTCGATCGTTTTCAAACAAATTTTCTTTTTCTTTCAATTTCCAGAGATTTGACGAACGTATTGCAGCCGTTTAAAAAGTTATTCTACTTCGAAAATACAAAGAATTTAAAGTTTGGACAGTTGGTTTTGCCGCAGTTGCCGTGTAACAGTGGGCCAATGTATTTTTGTAAAATTCAACGTAATGAAAATTAGAATAGAAAATGTTTTTATCATTTAATATGAATAAAATTTTGAAATGAATCATTCAAGTTTTGAAAATGCCATCAAAAAATGTACGTCATGTTCGAAAGCATTAAACGCACTCACTGTTGAGACTGTTGAATGTAATTCGCTTCGCTCGACCGTCCAACGACCGATTCGTTATTGGAATTGACGTTTAGGGCATTGTTTGTGTTATGTTTCTTCATTCGTCATCGTGAACATAACAAAGAATCGAATCGACCGACGTAATCTCTCAGTGTTGAATGGAATACACGGTTTGCCCTGCCACAAAAATACATTGATTCGAAAGTGTGTGCGGAGTGTAGCTAAGGACGATCGCACCTTTGTCGAAACGGCAACGACGACAACGACAGCTGTTTATTGTTTATTATCATCTAGCGATTTTTTTTCTCTCTCTACTGATCCAAACGATTTAAATCGGGGAGTTTTTTTTGTGTATTTGTGTGGCGCTCTTTTATATTTGGTTCGTCGCACATAATTTGGCAATAAGTTCTGTGTTATATTTGTTCGCTAGTTTTCTTTTGCCTGGGTACAAACTATAGTTTTCATTTCGTATCATAAGCAAAGACTTATCTCGTCAAGAACAAAAACGAAAATACTTACAACGGGCTGTAACATAGTTGTAGTTATTCGACTGATGCAATATATTTAAAAGTAACACGCATTACAACGCTGACACATGTAGAACTTCGTCGTTTGCATTTTTTTTACATTAGCAACACGAAAAAACAAACGGAACAAGTGACGTTTTTATAAAGAATTGCGTTTTTTTTTTGTAAAAAATAAAAAAAGTCTGCAAAAATAAAATCCACTCGCATATCGTTTCACATGAAGTAGAAAGACGAATTCATGGATCCGTTGAATGTAAGTATTTGGTTTGTCACTCTTTTTTTTTCTCGCAATGTCGAATTGTGACTTGAATAGCTAATAATAATGTTCAAACCAATTTTACAGAGCATTCTTAAGGCATATCTACGCGGTGTTTGGGACAGTCTCAATGGTGTGTGGCTAATAGTAATCGTTATTCGGGACACATATAGCAGTACAGCGCTAAAAAATGAGAAACAGGACAGTGAATTGGATGAAAGTAGCTCGAGTTCAAATAACACACACACTAGCAAACGACCCACTCGACGTTCTCATGCAAACAAACGTGAACTCAACAAACTCAAAGAGTATGTCAATCGATTGATTTGCTATGTCATTCGCCCAATAACGCCTAAAATATTGCTTTTTTCTTCTTCTTCCCTTTTTTATAGAGAATCCAATTTATTGAAGCGAGTCTTTCAGTGCTGTCTATTGAATGGCGGTTTCTTTGGCCTTAGCATCACGTTGTTTGAATATGTTTTACTTCCAATCATTCGAATGTTCCTGAGATGGATGTTTACACAGAATCCGGGCAGTGGTGCTATCATTGGCAATTATATTGTCACATTTCTATCGATTCTATTCGGTATGATTTGGGTCATGCCACTGTTTATCTTGAGCAAAATCGTCAATAGTTTATGGTTTCAGGTGAGGTGGGATTGAATTTAAGGAAAATCGATTCTCAGAGAATTCTACATAAAAAGAAAAACTAAAAAAGAATCAAAACATCTAGAACAAAGACTTCAATCCTTTTTCATGTCTTATCCATAGGATATTGCTGATTCAGCATATAAGGTTCGCAAAGGTCAACCGCAGCTATTTGTGAGTTTCAGCGTTATCATAGCCGATACGCTGTTTTCGTTGCTCGTGCAAACGTTGTTCCTAATCCAGAGCATGGTCGTAAATTTGTTACCATTCAATTACTTCTACTTTTTAACATATTTTCACTTGAGTTTGCTGTATTCACTGTATTCGTTCGAGTACAAATGGTGTAACATGGGCTGGGAACTGCATAAGCGGCTAACCTATATCGAAAATCATTGGCCGTATTTCCTTGGCTTTGGCACCATTTTGACAATTCTCACGCAATTGACATCGTCAATCTTTATCAGGTAAGAGACCATTTCGACTAGTTTATGGTTTTTAGATTGTTTTTTTTTTTTATGTGAATAACGTGTGAAGAGCTCAAACAAAATGGGATTCTGTCTAATTTTTGTTTTTCTTTGATTCTATCATTTTCTAGTGGTTGCATCTTTGCTGTATTCTTTCCGTTCAGTATACTCAGTGCGAATGAAGCAACGCCAGTTGAAGCGTCAATGTAAGTAGCCATTTGGCTCTCATCATGGCTTTGATGAACAATATTGATTTAATTCCGATTTTTTTTCGTGTCATTTGCAGTAACTATCCGCTGAAGTTTTTCAGCATCGTCGTAGCCATATCGAATGCTCTCTTCAATAAAACGATTCGACCGGCAAATGTGCCAATGTCAAGGGCTGCCATGGATGCAGCAATCACAGCGGCCAATGCAAACGATACATTTCGTACGATAAGACAACAAACACCGCCAGTGAATGTATCGCATAGTCGAAATCAGTCATCGCATCATTCGGGTACACATCGCCACTATAGATAAAAATGATTCACAATCCTATCTATTCTATACCTATTAATAACGAATATTCGAATTGACAAATGAATTGCCTTCTATTTTATGTTTTTTTCTTCTTGGAAATGAACAAGAATGACAGCAGTTTGTCCCTTTTTTGCGCGATGGAACAGACTTAAATGTTTAGTTTCTTTTCCACTTTTGTACCATACACATATTTGAGATAAATGTTGCACGGTCAACACGATTAGAACAAGTAATTGGTACCGGTTGTAAGGTTTAATTAGCAAATTGCGGAAGAAATGAACATATTGCTTTTTTTTATTACGCGAATCAATAGCTTACACTAATGTTAAATGTAATATTTTAAAAATATTTATTGACTTTTTTTTTGTAAAATTTGCTATGAAATTGTCAACCTTTTTGTATCTTCACGTATATTGTTATCCATAAGTCGAATAAAATATTATGGTGCTCAATATTGTTTAGGTTTTATTCAGATTTACACATTTGCTCATCTGTCTCCTTGATTTAGCCTGCAGAAATCATAAAAAATTCATAAAATATATAGAAAAAAATCCATTTACGAAAAAAACGAGAAAACGATTTCTGCTGTTTCGCATTCAAACTCATTCGTTCCCAGACAATGGGTGCATTGAACGCATCCAGCCATTGACATTTGGATGTGTGTTTTCCATATCGCCGAAGTTCGAATTGTCGCCGCAAGAGAAATATGAAAGCAACAGCAGACTGTCTCGCACACACACACATTGAAACGATCGCTCGTATTGCTGTCGAACTTACTTCATAACAGCAACCGTAAATGCTGAGATAGACTCGGGCACAATCACAATTTGTTACACACAACTATACACACGGACTGTGTATTGCATTTTCGATGTGTCAATGTGTTTGTTTCTTCCATTTGAAATCGTCTTGAAAGAACACCATGACTGAGTGAAAAGAGCACATACATTTCATTTTTATTGAACCAAACGAAATAAAAAGAAAAATAGATTGCTGTCAATGTTCCACGGGACAAATTCGATTGGTTCAGCGATAAATTCATAGTTTTTTTTGTGTGTATAATTCGGTTTGCAAGAGCATTTAGTTGGATTTCATTTGTCGATTACAATTCGCTAAAAATATATAAAAAGAAAAAAAAATAATTGAACATTCGAAGTGGAGGCAAGAGTTTGTAAATGTGAGGAAATTTATGTATTTTTTTAGTGCCGTCATCGTCAATGTGAAATCGAATGTGGACTCAATATTTGGAGAAAGAGAAAAAAAAAGGTTTGTGTTTGCCATCTGTATTTCGAATTTTACATTCCGGATAATGTTAATTTCAAGTGGAATCGCTTTTTCGTGTGCACTTTTTGTTTTGAAGCCTGGTGGGCTCTCGAACAGTGGACAATTGCATTGTAATTATGAACTAGCATCACACAAGTACTAATCGACGAAACACACATATCAGTATTACACAGCAAAACGATGAGACATATACATCACCAATGTGCCATTGATTTTTTTTTATCTTTTTTTGAATTTGTTTTTGCTTGATTTTTTTTTCTGCTTGTTGTACATTGCATCGCATCGCATTTTTCAGCAGCGACTAAATTACATCTCAAACCCGATTCAAGCTGTGTGTGCGTGTAAGAGAGAGAGAGAGATGAGTGTGTGTATGGCAGTACGTGCACGTATAGAAATTTGTTGTGAAAATGGTCACAAAAGGAAAGAAAACAACACTTCGCTACTTAATCGAAACAAAGATTCGGCATTTGAATAAACTCTATTCCGCTGTGTTTATTTGTGTGAAGCAGGATGAAAATACGAAAATCGCAAATATTTTTGCACCGAAGATTCGCCATCGTCGTAGTGTTTCGCGATGGGAGAAATAGACAAAAAAACATGTAGTTGCATGATTTTTCGAAATTGCATTCGGTGGTGTATCAGAATAGCATCAATGAAACACACAGAGAGAGAGAGAGAGAAAAAAATTGAATTCTCGGTAAATCAAATTGATTGTACATTTAGAGCTTCCGTTCGGGTTGACCGTACGTTTGCTATTGGTGTTGTACATGTAAGCGATTTTGTTATTGTGTACAAGTGTATCGGAGAATAACTTGATTCGAGTTATGTGTTGCTGTTGTGCTTGTCGTTTTGGCATATTTTCTTCATGTCGTTTACATTTCTTGACTTAGTGTTTGTGTAGAGTGCGGTGAAGAGATACATTTTTTTGCCTTCTTTCTTCCTTGGTGTACAAAATATACATTAATTACATCAAAACTAAAACACAATAAAATATCCGTAACCTTGTACCGTTCAGTGGGGTTAATTTTGCCATTCCGCTGACAGTGTGAAGCGATGATTTTTTTTCGTTCGATGGTTTATTCGGTACGAGCCCGTACTCTTTGTGTTTATTTTCTTTTTTTTTTGGAGAAGTAGCGACAATGTGGCGATGCAAAACAACATAAAAAAAATAATCAAGAGGTCGCTGGATATGTTTCAAGTCTCAGCGGAATCACAATAATAAAAACACGTAATATTCGGTTTTTATTAGAAAGTCGACAAATTCACTTTGTCTTCGATGTTGCCGAGTTTTGTGTTGTGTTCGGTTGTTTGGTATTGTGTCGCAGCCTAGTACAGTAAGTTCCGTAATGCGTCTGAGCTGGTGTGTAGGAGGGGAATATCAATCGCATCAAATGTGTACATTTTTCATTGTCTTGTCGTTTTCTTTCGTTTTCGTCTCCACTTTGAACCGTATTGGTTCGCTTTGTCTCTCTCTCTCTGTCTCCATAAGATGACACCTTTTAAGGCGATTGAAAGTGAAAAACTCAATCAAACTTGGAAACAATGTGTTATGTTCCGGTGCATTATTGTTAAAATCTGATGACAGATTCAATTGCGGACAATTATAAAGAAGAAAAAAAATGAGAAAAATTCTTTTCGAATTGACATTCCGGTAGTTTTCTTTATTACATTAGTAGTAGCCCGCATATTGAACGCATTTAGATGAACGAGCTTTGTTTTGAATGGAAATTAAGCGTAGATTCTCTTCTTTTATTTACAGAAAACTACATGATTCATCTTCACAACAAATGAACAAATGAATTTTCATTGTTCGTCCAAGTTTATTGAAGGCCATTCCTGTTTTTTGCGATACACATTCAAATCATTTGGACACTCATAACTGTTCACAGTCAATTGACGCGGCGGGTGTACACATTTGCAATATTCGAACGGTTCGAACCGACGAGCTATAATTATGATTCGGAATAATCCTCCAAAGAGGGAAGGCGGCAAAATGCGTATCCGCGCATTTCCAGTAAGTAAAAAAACCAGTTTATCAACAGAATCTTTTTTTTTTACCATTTTAGACATGAATGAAAACATCACCTTTACTATATTATACCATCTTTATTTGGTCTTTGTCAAGTCTTAATATTTTGATTGGTCTTTGTGCTAAACAAAAACGATGAAACTAAATGAAAATTGAACAAAAATCATAAAATCGGTCATGTTCTGAGTCAAAAGCACGCTTTTATACTCACAAAATGCATTTTGAGTATACAAACGAGCAGATTCTTAAAACGGATCACAGTAGCCATTTGTTGCGTTTAGTGATAGTGAAATCTAAAGTAAATACAAATGGCTGAGCCAAGCGATGTTGTAATGAGAGAGAAAGGTGATAGTCCAGGCATTGGAAATTCACTCGTTGATTATTTTGAAGAGGTCGTCGAAATGGTGTGCCATTTCATAAAATCCTAACTCTAATAAATGACACCATTCAACTAAATATTAATTGTTTTTTTTTAGATGAATATGGATGAAAAGTACGTAGAGTCAATTTGGAATCTTCTACGTAACGCCATCCAGGAAATCCAAAAGAAAAACAATTCAGGACTTTCGTTTGAAGAACTTTACAGAAATGCGTACACAATGGTTTTGCATAAACACGGTGAACGTCTGTACACGGGCCTTAAAGAGGTGGTCACAACTCATTTGGAAAAACAGGTGCGTCAATACAAATAAAATCCCATGCGATTACAATACAATGCAATCGCATTAATTAGCTTGGATTCAATCGACATTCATTCAGAGCATTAACCAATTGCTCGTTCAACGATTTATTGACCGTGACATTTTTCATTTCATTCTTTAGGTTCGTGAAGACGTTCTGAAATGCTTGCACAATAATTTGTTGCAAAAATTGAATCAAGTTTGGACCGATCATCAAACTTCGATGGTGATGATTCGTGATATTTTGATGTATATGGATCGAGTCTATGTGAAACAAAATGAATTTGACAATGTATACAACTTGGGTTTAATCATCTTTCGAGATCAAGTGAGTGAAACTTTTGAAGATAAATTGCACATTTTTCGCTAAACATTTCGGTTTCAATGCATTCTTTCTGTTGCTTTCAGGTTGTTCGGTATGGAAAAGTGCGAGATCATTTACGCAAAACCCTGCTGGATATGGTGATGCTAGAGCGAAAAGGCGAAGTAATCGATCATTTAGCGATCAAAAATGCTTGCCAAATGTTGACCGTGCTCGGTATCGACAGCCGCTGGGTATACGAGGAAGACTTTGAGCGTCCATTCCTCACTCAATCTGCATCATTCTACAAAATGGAATCACAGAAATTCTTGTCAGAAAATAACGCTAGCGTTTACATCAAAAAAGTCGAGGTAAATTAAAAAGCGATACCATTCTTTATGCGGATACATGATTTATACGAAAACAATTTCCATTTGCAGAGCCGCATTATGGAAGAATCCGAACGTGCAAAACTCTATCTGGACAAAGACACCGAGCCACGTATCGTGAAGGTTGTCGAAGACGAATTGATCAACAAACACATGAAAACGATTGTCGAAATGGAAAACAGTGGCGTTGTTCACATGATCAAAAATACAAAGACCGAAGATTTAGCTTGCATGTATAAACTGTTTTCCCGTTTGAATGACGACGCCCTGAAAACCATTGCCGAAGCAGTTTCAAGCTATTTGCGTGAACAAGGTCGCAGTTTGGTGACCGTTAAAGAGGACGAACAAACGAATCCAATTACATTCGTACAGAATTTACTCGATTTAAAGGATCGTTTCAATCACTTTTTGGTACATTCATTCAACAATGACAAAATCTTCAAGAATATGATTTCATCCGATTTTGAGCATTTCCTCAATTTGAATAGCAAATCGCCCGAGTATTTGTCACTGTTCATCGATGATAAATTGAAAAAGAGCAGCCGTGGTGTGAGTATATGGAGTGAACTTACCCATTTCTTATGGAACATTTTCCTTTATTTCTTCAAATAAAATCATAATCGTTCGTCTATTAATAATTTCGACATCTCTTTTTGCCACAGATGAGTGAACAAGAAATTGAAACCGTTTTAGACAAAACGATGGTACTCTTCCGATATTTACTCGAAAAAGATGTGTTCGAAAGATACTACAAATCACACTTGGCCAAACGTTTGCTACTTAACAAATCGGTGTCCGACGATTCGGAGAAGAATATGATTTCGAAGCTTAAGGTAATAAGAATGCTTAAAATGTGATTTGGATTAATGCGATGACACGGGGAGTTTGGAGAAATTGCGATACTAATGACTCTTTCCATTCAATTTCAGACTGAATGTGGTTGTCAATTTACCTCAAAACTAGAAGGCATGTTCAAGGATATGACACTATCGAATACCGTAATGGAAGAATTCAAGAATCATGTCAACAACAACAACATATCGTTGAATGGTGTTGATCTTACAGTTAGAATTCTAACCACTGGTTTTTGGCCAACACAGGTTAGTATCATTTCTACTATCAAATGACATAAGAATTTCTTCGTTCTTTTTGAATATGTGTTGAAATTTCTACGTATTTTCAGTCGGCTCAAAGTTGTAACATACCGTTAGCGCCTCAGAAAGCTTTTGAAACGTTCAAAAAGTTTTATTTAGCACAACATTCAGGTCGTCAATTAACGCTACAACCACAAATGGGTAAGTACACGCTAATGAAGTTGATTACATTTCTGAAATTGATAAAATGATTCGTTGCGATGATTGAATCACATTCAATTGAATTTTTTTATAACTCAATTAATTCGCTCGAACCAAATTGAATTCATTCTGTAATTTCATTTGGAAAACAGGTACGGCATTCATAAATGCAGTGTTCCCGCCAATACCATCGTCAAAACCAGACGCAAACGGTGTGCAACCATCATCAAGCACATCCAGCACAAGTGATGGCCCCGTTGGAAACGTAGCCTCGTTCACTAGAAAACATATTCTTCAAGTGTCGACTTATCAGGTATGATTCGATTCGGTAAAAAAAAAGAGAAGAAGACAGGTCGAGTAATTACTAATGGCTATTTGTTCCATTTGCAGATGTGTATTTTGATGTTGTTCAACACACGTCAGCGCATGACCTACGAAGAGATACAACAAGAAACCGACATCCCGGAAAAAGATTTGATTCGTGCATTGCAATCGCTGTCGATGGGCAAGGCCGCACAACGACTTTTAGTGCGAGCTGCAAAAACAAAGGACATTGAATCGAACAATGAATTTTACGTTAACGACGGTTTTGTCTCCAAATATCACAGGTTTGTTGGGAATCATCAGAGATAAAATGTGGAACTTTTGAAATAATGAACTAATCGAATGTTGCCTTTTGTGATGTTTAGAGTGAAGATTCAAACAGTTGCCGCTAAAGGTGAATCAGAGCCGGAGCACAAGGAAACGCGCAGCAAAGTGGAAGAAGACCGTAAACACGAGATTGAAGCTGCAATTGTGCGAATAATGAAATCGAGAAAGAAGATGGCGGTAGGGATTTGGCTTGAGAATTTAACATTTTCAACTTGATAGGCGGAAATCGATATTTTTTTCCTTAAATTCTCTGACTAAATTTGAATTGTTTTCATTTAAAAAAAATTTCCATTATTTCGTTTGCAACAGCACAATTTATTGGTGTCGGATGTGACAACGCAATTGCGAAGCCGGTTCCTGCCATCGCCTGTTGTGATCAAAAAGCGAATCGAAGGATTAATCGAACGAGAATATTTGGCCCGGACTCCAGAAGACCGAAAAGTTTATGTATATTTAGCTTAAGAACCTTAAAACTCAACGTCGATCAACGAGTTTGTTTTGATTTCGGCATCTTAACCCGTGTTTTTTTTTTTTGTTGTTTCTTTTTTCAAAACCAATGAAACCGCGCGATGACGACTAGAAATATATATTGAAAAGCAAATTTAAAGAATAAAAGAAAAACTAAAAATATGAAGAGATATTAGCTTCAGCGCCGCATTGCGGTCAATGTAAGAGTAGAAAATGATTCAGAATTTTTTCGAGTTGAATTTCATGTGAATTTCTCTAATGCTCGGAAATTTTCAACAAAAAAAGTGATTTTTTTATACTTTTACGTCTGTAAGTTTCATTGGGATCGCTGGAAATGGAAGAAATAAACAAGCAACATTTAGTGTAATGCCAGACAAGAAAAAAGAAAATAAATAATTAGCAAGTTATTATGCGAGAAAAATAAAATCTAAAGAGAAGAGAACACAGAGAAGAAGAAGAAGAAGAAAAAAACACATTGAAAATGAGCAAAAAAAAAAAAATGATCCGTGTAGAATTGAACTAATGATCCCTTTTAGTCTAAAATAATCTACCTAAAATTACTGTATTCTAATCTATACTTTATGATTATTGATAATTATGGTTAGCTCCTGCCTATGCGGAGCTCGTCTTAAGTGTGACAAAACAGTTTCTATTTTCTTCATTTTCTGCCGTGTCAACGTAATAATACATCCCGTTGGGGCCGGCAGCCTTATCATTTCACCACACACACACATGTTGATTCTTTTCGTAATGACATATACATTTTGTTCGTAAAGATAATAATGAAAATAAACGTATACATCTTTCTGTGCAACGCCACACATAGTACACCCACACACGATAAGAACAAAGAATAAAGGAAGAAAACTGGCAAGCGGTTAGGTATTATGTGTAAACGCAGATTTGTACATTCTTTTATTTTTTATGTCAATTTGATAGTTTAAACTTTAGCACAATTACAAACTATCGGTTACTTAGCTAGACTTGGCTTTGTCTTTGTTTCTGATGTGAATGTAATATGATAACGAAAACGTATGGGCAGTGTGAATTTGGCATGCATACATCCAAAATAATCAAGTTTAAATTATCGATTTGTCACCGAAACACAAACACACATTTACACACTAAAATCCAGAAGAAAAGAAGGAATAAAACAACAACAACAAAAACCGATAAGAACATCCACACAACAGTTGAATGGAACATTTATTTTATTATATTCTTTGAATGAAAAATAAACAGAAATCATTTTTGAAAAGCAACGTAGCCATAATCGGTTTCTCTTTATTGTGTTTCATTGTCTTGTCGCTAAAAAAATGAAATACCGGCCTGATACTGATTGGCTTTCAATTGAAATGATGTTAAATAAACAATGATGGCATTTCAATACGATTTTCTCGAAAAAATGTTGTTTTATTTGCTGCAAAAGAAATATTCCAACTTCGTATAAAACTACCTGTTCATGGTTTTATGTAATGTATACCTATTTCAGAATGCTTAAAACTTGAAAATGACCCGCAAAAAATCATTTCAGAGCCATTAAAAAAAATTTAATCTCAAATTTGGATTTGCGACTTTAATTTTTCAACAAAATTCAATATAAATTTCGTACTGGAAAATAAAAAAAAAATTCAGGAGGCAGACAGAGTTGAACTATCGACCCTTCGATCTGCAGTCGAACGCTCTACCACTGAGCTATACCTCCAACTGTATGTTTGTGGTTTGAGTTCCATTGAGTGCTTACGCTTTAAATGATCAACGCCCATATAGCATAGAATACGTCATTATTTCGCCCATAAATTAGTTTTGAGTTGATCATTGACACCACCGAATTATTCATGTTTTCATTGATATTCTCATTTGAAAGAAAGAAAAAGCAACCAAAACTCCTCCAATAACAATATTTAGAAACGTTTATTCTTTAATTCATATTTCTTTTCGACAGATATTTAAGATTGAATATAATGCATTTTTTCAGGTTTTTTGGAATGTTTTACGTCATAAGAAGGTTTTGTAGCAAGCAAAAGTGTATTTTTAATTAAAGAAATACTTCAAATGCAATTAAATTTCAGACAATTCAGCTACAAATGTATGAATTTAATTGGATCTGATCTTGAACTCTTTGTATTTTTCAGAATGTTGTCCTATTTAAATGGTATTTACTCGCTAAACACAAAATAGGTCTCATTTTAGGAGAGAGAAAAGGAAAATTTCACATTTTTCGGAAATCGATCAGGAGGTAACTTAGAGAATACCTTGATATGAAAGGAAATTACTTATAGAAGAAACAGATTTGAGCTTATTCTTTGAAGTTGAGACGAGTGACCATTCCAGATGACACAGTGTCACTGCTCGAGATAAAGTCAAAGCCCCAACCAATATAGTTGATCTCCAGTTGTACATTTTGTGGCTGCCATTTTGAAATCATTGAACATTCCGTTGTTTTGAATTCATCAAGTTTTTCTTCGAAGAATGAGCATACAACAATATATTCGCACGATGGTCTGATTGTAATCGGTGTAGTGCCCCAATGAATGCAGGTTTCCTTTTTGGTGAACGTGCTCCCTTTTATTTGCAAGAGTGTCTTTTGCGATGTAATGAACGGCCGTTCATAAATGTAAATCGTGGTGGCCAGTTGAGCACCGTCATCCTCACGCCAAGACCAAATACGTGAACAGAAGAATTCGTATAAAAAAATTTCTTTGTTTGATTTGAATGACATAATGTGGTGACGGGCAATATATCTATTATTTGTGGAACAGGGTATTTCACAGGTGAAAAATACTGATGGCTGATGCACGCATCTGAATGGAATCTTCTTATCCTTATTATCCAAAATCTCTTCGAAAACGTTTTCCAATTCAGTTGCTGTAAACATGCCTTTATTCGACGTGAACCGAGTGACAAAATTATTCATATCCATTTCACCGAATCGAATCAACGAGAAACAGTCGCCCAGTTGCATGCGCAAATTTTTAGCATGTGTGTCATCAATTTGCTGCTTTTTGCACATTTGTTTCGCCCATTTGACGCAAGAATCGAAGACCACTGTTTCGTTGCAAGAGAACGTTTGAAGTTCCAACAAGCTCTTTACAACAGCAAGACTACTGGAGATAAATGACGGGGACTCAAACACTTCTTTGGATTTTTCAATTGCCTTGATGCCACATTCCTTTTTCAAGTCTTCTAGACTGTGCAATAGCGACAGACGTAGGTTCCAGCAAACATTATCAAGTTTTACTTGTGACTGCATAAACTTCTCACAGATACGCATACAATCCGGCATATCGTATTTGTTGGTGCAGTTCAGAACTCGT